TTAATATTATTTTTGGTTTGCTTTTTTTGTATTTGTATATAATTAAAGTCATGTTTGGTTGTTACTATTGCAGCTTAGTGTAATTATGTTTTGTCGTATATAACCTCCAAAGTCGGATCAGAGAAATTGGTAGAAGGAATTTATTTTAAATCTTGGTGTGTCATTCATTGCTTACAATTTCTTTCGATTTTTGGAGAAAAGAATATATTTTAGTATTTATTTTTGTCTTAGTTTAAAAATTTATATAACATCTTACTGCCTTATTTCTAGATATTCGTCTACTTATAAAATACTTATTAATACTTAAAACACACAAACTCTAAGAAAGTATAGGAAAACGTTACGGTTTGCATAATTGAGTTTTGAAAACACAAAGGAACTCAACAGTCAAGTAGCAAATTCCAGTTATGGCATGCATAACTTAGCAATACGTAGTGCAGTACGAGCAAGTATATAGGCTGCTAGACTATGCTAAATAATCTGACAATTTTAGTGCAATTTTGTGTGAAGTCATACTATTAGCGATGCCCTCAAAGTGAGCGAGACATACTCGTACGCTAGGGAGATGTCAAGAATATGACAAAGCTGCCAAGTTCAGCGCTAGATGAAAGCTTTGAAGTAATGTAGGAAAAAATACAATATTTTAAAATTTTCCAATTTCAAAACAATTTTTAAAAATGACTGATTTGTTTATTTTACAATACTTAGCAACCAAAATTACTTTATCTTTACCACTGAAACCAATAGTTTTGTCAACAAGTTTTTACTCTTCGAACTCCTGCTGACTTCAATACAGCGATTTTTTTCTTTACAAGTCATTTAAATTGCCTCAAAACTTTTTATTAATTATTATCAATGTTATCAAACTTAATTTTTCTTTCCTAAAATTTCATAAATCTTCCGAATCTATATTTTTTAGCCCTGACTTCTATTTTTATAGAGGAAAAAATATATTAGTAATTTGGGCTACTTTGCCCAACTTACTACAAACTTGACACCGAATTTTGCCTCGAAAAATAGCTTAGAAAGAGAATTCAATTCGGAAATTTTGGTAGTTTACAGACAGTAAAAGTGTCTAGAATCGTAGTAAAAATCAAAAAACGAAAATTAGGTTAAGTCGACTGGATTTGCCAGCATATTTAGCATATTTGCACAAAAACCTGATTTAAGCCAAAAAAAAAATTCACAAAAACATATGCAAACAACAACAATAATAATAAATTTTGTATTAAATATACAATAATAATATTTATTAAATACAACAAAAACAACAATTCTAACATTTAATACAAAAATAATATACATTAATATACGAAAATATATAAATTTTCTACTAACAGCGCAGTATTTAGTAACTTAAGCTCTCAGAAAATGTAATTTCCCCGCCAAACAATAAATGTTGCCTTCCACTAACTTTGAGCTGCTCGACGGTTATACAAAAACAAATATATACAATAAAAAAAAGTAATTTTTAATGAATGAACAGCTCCGCTTCGCGCCATTTTGATCAATTTTCGTACGAAAATGCTCTCTTACCGCGCTTTCTCTAACAAAGCCAAGCCAAGCTGCTTACCTTAAGCTTAAACATATTTATTTTCATGCGAAAATATCCGTCACACAATCACTTTTTCAAAAGCACATAACAGTAATTATTCATCGCTTCATATTACCACCCACACCCAAACGCACACATACATAAACACGCTTTAATAAGGAAATTGAATTTATTATGCAAATCCTCGGTGTGCAAAGTAAATTACACAATTACAATCTATAAAAGGCAATTTCGCTTATAAAAACATTTTCTTATTAAATTGCGTTTGTATGTGTGTGTATTTTAGTTATAAAAGTACAATTTATTTAAGTGATTTTACAATAATAATAATTTTTTATGAATTTGATTTTATTTATGTAGTTAATTTTGTGATTTCGTTGCAATATCTCTATATGTACTTTTGTATTTGATTAAGTACGTGTGTATGAAACAGATTTCATTTGTAGCGCCAATTTGTATTAACAAAAGTAAATAATAAATTTTAAGTTTTTATAAAATGAATTTTGTAGTTTGTTGTTTTATTTTTCACATTGATATTGAGCACTTAGCACAAACGTTGCAAGGTAAATTGTGTAGTGTGTAGTTAGCCTTAGTAAATTTGGTAATATTGGAAATTTGATATTACGGATTTGTTATTTCCGAAAACTTGGAAAATTATTCTGTTTTTAACTGAATTTTTTATTATTATTGAGTATTTAAGGCAGCTATAAAATTATCTTTTTTATTAAGATTGAAGTTAGAGCCATCCAGAAGTATGAAAACACAAACCATCTCGTTCTTACACCAGAAATCATACAATTTATCGTGAATTTTCTTTGTGACAGTCAATTAATGAACATTTTTGACTGATTACCGCAGGCTCCAATAGATTTTGCTCTTTTAGCTGGGCTATTGATTTGCATAATTCATATTAAACTTCTTATGGAAGCCTTGCATTTCAACGGACAACACACCGGAGCGTCTGGTGGCTGATAACAGTTTATTTCTCAAATTCCAGGAACCCAGAGCCTGGGATCAACCAGAAACAGAAAACGTACTTCCAAAAATTGTTTCAATGTTCTAACAAATCAATTTTAAGGTGTTTTTAAACTTATTATTATTTTCAAAATGAGATCTTCTGCTTGTGGGGTTTCCAAGAAATAATAATGACATGTGATCCATTTCGAGGTTCCCTACTTTTTTAAAGAAAAACACATAAACTTCAAATCTGATGGGGAATGTTCATTATCATTCGAAAGAACATCTTTTGGGATTTATTTTTTTGCAGATTATCTCTTTCAAGTGCTGAATCTTAGATGATCCATCAGTTGAGACCAACTTTCGATGACTTGTTTGAGCATTTCAACTAGTTACTGGCGAATCACACGAGTGATGTTCTACTCCAAGGCCTGAATCGAAGCGGGACTGTCCGCATATACTTTAGACTTTACGTATTCCCACAGGAAAGAGTCTAACGATGAGACATCATATGATCTTGGTAGCCAATCGAACGGCTCAAAAAGTGAAATTATTTGCTCATAGAAACCAAATATCGCCGAGATCACGAGCTTCAATTTCAGGCATCAAATAGACGGTCATCACGGCGCGATAACGGTCGCCATTGACGGTTACATTCTAAACATCAGCATCATTTTTGGTATATGGTCCGATGAGTCCACTGACCCACAAACGACTCTAAACCGTTATTTTTTCTCTGGATCTTGCTTTGTGCAGCTCTTGAATCTCTTCAGGTTGGTCATCATCTCAAATGCGACAATTTCGCTGGTACGTACCCATTGAGACAGAAATGGGTCTTATCGCTGAACGAAATTTGGTTCAGTAACGTCGGCTCTTCTTGGAACTATTCAAGAGCCCATAAGCGAAACGTTGCCGCTTGGGAAGGTCGAGCGGCTTCAGTTCTTGCAAAAGCTGTATTTTGCACGTTTTCAATTTAAGATCTCGCCGTAAAATGCTTCTGTTCGGTCGAATATTATCAAATAATTAATGTGGGTACACGCAAGGGAGGGTGGACTCATGTGTAAAAGTTCACTCAAGTGAGGAAAGTAAAAAAAAAACGGTTGGAAGCGAAGCTCCCCTTTTGATGACGACCATGGCAAACGAATTAAGGATTACGATTTGAGGAAATGCCTCTTAATTGGGAAGGTGCCGCTGCTCAGCTGGTTGTTGTCCACGTTAGAGTAAATGCTGACATCACCGTCAAATGCAATGGACAGGACAAGGACTGATGGGAGTAGGATTCCTTCTATGAGCGCTTGGAGCGCTCCTATGAGAACTACTTTCACCAAGATGTCAAAATCATGCTTGGCGACTTTACGGCAGGGTGGGCAAAGAAGGTATCTTTGCCACAACAGTCGGTAAATTCAGCCTCCACGAGGAAACATCCCCGAATGGGTTGAAGCTGATCGACTTCACCGTGGCCCGAAATATGGTTCTTTGTAGTACTAGTAAACAATTCGTCTTAAAGACGGCATCAATCATAGATGTACCTTTTCCGATGTACAAATAATTTAGATCAACATTAGACCAAGTTTGGAAAACATTTTTGAGATCAAATAACGGAAGGTCAGAGTCTCGGCAGAATCTTGACAGTGTTTCCAGCTATGATTATTACTAAAGCAATAGAAGAACTTCAAAGGTTAACATGTTGAAGAAACATGAAGCAACAAAATATGAGTAATAATCATCGGAAATACTGCTGCTTACCACATAAACTCAGTGCGAAGTAATAATCGACGGGTTTGCTTCTTACACCAAGAAAAATATTAATAAGGAAAACTTTTTGATTTTTCCCTTGAAGAATACAGCTTTTATTACATCTGTTTTATCGGAAAATAAAGATATAAGTTCTTATGTTCGGCTTTCTTTTATTTGTTGATAACATTAAGGTTTGTTTTGCACTTAGTTTGCACTCTTGAACATCTCTACGCTTACTTACAACAGTTACTTACACTTTCCAAGGATATCCTAGGTTCTTCTACGATTGCACCAAACAAAAAAAAAAAAAAAAATACAAAACACTGTATCTCAAAACACATCTTTGAAACTGAGAGACCCAAGTCGAACTTTTAATATCAACTTTTTATTTTATTTGCCCAACAATAGGAGCGTTTACGTCTCAAGATCATCGAGCGGCTCTTGAAAGAAGGTTCGAATGCTGATGAACCACTAAACATACCGTTATCGGATTATTCGAGGTAATCACTCCAATAAAAAGAAGAGATAGAAAGTATATAAAGTGATATAAAACTTTTCAATCGATTTAGCGACGAAGGTGGCATCTCCAGTTCAGAGAATGAATGTCGCGGTTCGAGTTTTTCCGATTTGGAGGGACCTTGCTGCGCACTCAGCCGAGCACCGCCATCTACACCCGAGGCAGAGGCACAACATCGCCGGGTATGTACTCACAACATTTTCACTTGTAAAAGCAGTTATTCGTAGTCAATATCTCCCACCTACCACCCGCTCCTTCTATCCCTCTCCACCTCATGCACAGCACAAATTGACACGCATGCGTCGCGTAATGCGTGAGCTCGATCGCATTTACTTCCAACCATTATTCCAAAGGAAATTCCGTTGTTTCATCAAAGTTAAACGCGGCAAATCGAAACGCTCCGATAAGAAGAACTCGAAGCGGAAGAGCACGAATAGTTTCGACATTGCTACAAATTCGCAAATACGTCGGCTGCAGGGTGGCGCTGAGACTGCCGATGGCGTGAATAGGAAATCGTGTATTTATGAGGAGATTTTCCAAGATGCCCACGATGGCGCTTCCAATGAAAATGTTTCGATAACATCACCGGGTTGCGACTCCGTTACTAATGAATCCGATGAGCGCTCATTTCTGTCCGCTGAAGGTGAGGATTCCAAACAAGATTGTAGAAAAGTGGCGCAGAAGCCGCAAACTTCCAAGAAAAAGATAAAGGAAACTCAGTTGGTGCAGCGGCCGACAGTCTCAAGAAAGCTACGCACGTGGCTGGCGGAAAGAAAAATATTCATCCTCCGTAGAAAGCAAAAGGTAAAAAGCGTTTACAGTTATTATTTCTTGTCCGTTCAAGGAGTTAGAGAAACTAAAGTCGAAAGCGCTTGACTTGAATCTATTTTTTCGGGTACTGATCTGAATTCCGAGAATAGTTGGTTTATAGCTGGAGTTTGCCGAACACAGCCTGTTTCACAGTAAAGCATCTATTATTGTATTTTAGTCCAATTTTCGAATAAAACGATGTAAAATCAATAATGTCTCAATAATCGGAACCGACCCGGATTTTCATCCGACTAAGGACTGACAACGCGGCACTATTCCTCGAAATTGCGACACGAATCCCGACGGTCGAGTCTAGTAATAAGAACGGATTCGAATTTTTATCCGACCAATGACTGCACCATTCCTCGGAATTACACCACGAACTACGACAGTCGGGTCTAAGTAATCGGAACGGACTCGGATTTTTATCCGACCACGAACTATGAACTCGGCACCATTCCTCGAAATTGCGACACCAACTACGACGACCGGGTCTAAAATAAAGGTCTTTCTATACCCCTTTATGCTATACAAAATTTATCTTTGTAATTTGTTTCAAGTCTGAAACCAAAAAATTTAAGCATTTTTCAAACAAACTTATTGAGGTTATTCCATATAAAATCTCTTCCGGTGATTCTTTTTATTGCCACATAGCTTTTTATGAACAAATCTTCAAGAAAACGTGGGGAACCCTACAACTTTGTGTGAATTTATAATATGCGAATATCAATGACCTTTCAATCCACCTAAAAGTTATCCTCCACAAGTTTTGAGTATCTTTAGCTCGTCAAATTATATTTCGGAGTAGTTTCCACAGCTGTTCGAACTACCTTGGCACCATTCGGAAGTCTGCTTATAAATTGAAAATCTACTGTTATTGTTCATTTAAATACTCTATTCTCGGGTCTACTACTTCTTTCTGTCTTTATTATAAAAGCTTTCTAAAATATTTCTTTCGCATAATATTTGCATATAACTTCAAAAAAAAAAAGTAAATAAATACGAATAAAATGTGAGTAAAAAACGGGTGGCATGTGAACGCTTTCTCACACTTGTATACCCATCGTATCCACAAATTGCGGCAGCTCTAATTTCGTACCGCTTTTCAACGGAGTTCTATTTAATGCCACGAGATTTAAAAACTGTGACATTCCGCCTCCACAATGTCAGTGCGTTAAGTTGTCACGTCTCGCACCATATCCATATCCTTTTTGCAGTACTCCAGCACAAAGACAAAAAGAGACGCTTCGCACTATACGCAGAAGGCTCAAGCTTCTACCCATGCCTCACTGCAGCGCATTCTCGGCATACTTGCAATGCCACCTGCATTTTTCCAACGCGGAATTTTCACTTTTTTCACCCAACAAAAAACATTGCAGCTTTATTGTAATGGCGAAAACTGAAAACCGTGCATTTTTCAGACATTTTCACTTTTTTTCCGATTGCCAGCCGCCAGCCGAGTGCATATTTTCCCTTCCACTGCCAACAATTCAGTTGAGCATTGTTTTGCCACGAGCAAAAATGCATGCAAAATTCCTTTATTTGCTTTTCACTTTGCATTTTACTTTCGCTCTAACTTTTTTGTTTGTCTTTTTTTTATTTTTCACTTCCGCTTTGCATTGAGTATTTCATTTGCTTTGTATTTGCTTGCACCTTTTGCCATTGTGCGCTGTTTGGCAGGCGGCTTTACATGCCCATCAGCGATAATTGTTATTTGCCGCCCCCATATAATACTAGGGTACCCTCTCATACATATACATATATTATAACCCGTCATTTTTGTCGTCGAAGAATTTTTTTTTCAATTCTTGTGTTGCAACACACGCGATTTGCGCTGTTGAAAAGGTCAAGTCCACCAGAGGCCTTTCAGCGACGGCACAACTTGGGTTCAACTGGGGAGCACCTTAGGCTTTTTGAATATTTCATAACTTGCTCTATGTTTTACACGAGTTTCTTGTGTGTGTCAGTGAATTTCATTAAATGGGCGTTGCATTCAGCAAGAAAAATGTGCTGCCACACCTACAATTCCGCGCTCAGAGTGAGTGTAAGCAAGCAATTCGGGAGTGACACCCCAGTGCCCCTGATGGGTATATTTCAGTGACATTGTCATCGGTGCAACCCTCCTACTTTTGAGTTGCAAATTACACGCCACAACGGAACCCCGCTTAAGCCTCCTTGAGGTAATGAACTTGCTCACAAAGTTATGGCCACAACAAAAGCAGAAAGTATAAATCAATAAGTTGACAACAAGTCAGTCCACATTTACAATATTTCTCGTAGTAATCGTCGCTCGGGCTGTGTTGAGACGCTTCACAGTGTTCTGTTGTCACACAATTTTGACAGAGAAGCTACATTCATGGTCTCATGTGTCTCTAAAATAATTTTGTTGTTTATTAAATATGTTAATTAAATAAATTAAAACTTAAACGCAATATTGGATAGTCGAAAAAGTCTATATATTTATAATAATATCATAAATAAATAAACAAATATGTACCATTTTGGTCGACCACTTTTTGCCATTTTTCCGCTAGATACATTATTTCATCAGCGTAAAACCTTTCTGGTTTCTCGGCGACAAACCTGCGATAAGTATTTTCACAGCCTTCTCTTGAAGCCAATTTTTCTCCATTTAGGGAGTTCTGCATTGACCTAAGCAACTGGTTTAACCGATGGTTAAAGGTCACGGCCTATATGGTGGTTGCATCAAAACTTCCCAGCCAAGCTCTCCCAGTTTTTGCCGAGTCATCAAAAATGTGTGTGGTCTAGCGTTGTCCTGATGGAAGACGAAACTTTTTCTGTTGATGAGTTCTGGCCGTTTTTTTCGATGGCTTGCTTGAATCTCATCAGTTATGGATAGTAAGATTTCATAAAATTTGTCAAGAAAATTGTAAAGAAATTAAAATTACCGATTTTAAAAATTATTTTTGCTGTTTTGAGACAGATTTTTTTAAAACGAAAAAAATTATTTGCGCTGGTGCCGTCTGGTTCGCGGTAGCTCCCTACATTGGCTGACATTTATTAGTTCAATAGAAATATAGTTCTGGGTTGCAGTATACGTTTTAAGTAATCGTGTCTAAATATGATGAGGTTCACTGTTTCTACATTCGGTATATATTGATTTTTTTTAAATTATCAAATTATCCATATAAGTTTTTGACGCATGTTCAATGAAAAACATCATCAAAACTTTCAACAATATACCAAATTTCAATTTTTGTTGCTTATATAGAGCGCCTACTGTATCCAAAATACATATACTTAACAAACTCCTCTATAGTCACAATGAGTCCCATTATCTTATGCGATTAATTGTTTAAAAATACAATCAAACGAAGCTTGCTGTTGGACACTAAAAAAGTGAAAGGCAATCAGTTGTTAAGGTCGTGGTTCATTGCATTTTGGAGCGAATAAATTAAATTAATTATAAATTTAATGCTGATTTGGGCAAAACAAGATTTCACTTTTTATTTTGGGCGTGGTTAATATAACACCTTCGATAGCTCAGTTGGTAGAGCGGTGGACTGTAGACGAGTTCTTTGAAATCAAATGTAGATATCCATAGGTCGCTGGTTCAAATCCGGCTCGAAGGATTTGAATTACTCCCTTAGCCATAAGGGAGGATTAAAGTTTTTTCTTATTTCATTTGATAGAGAAAATAACAATATTGCAGAAGTTTTTGATATATGATGTTAACAAAAAAAAATTTTTTATTTTTTTTGAAGACTATGTTAAAAATTTTTAAACTTTGAGATTTTTTTCCTTAGAAAATAATTGTTATATTTTAATTTTTAACTTTCGCTAACAAAATTGGGTTATTTCATAACTTGAATTTTTTTTTTATACAATAAGAGTTGAAGGGAATATTTTGACTAAAGAATTCTTCATTAGCAACACACTTTTGAAACGTTTTGATCATTTTTATTTTTATTGCGATTTACTGAGTTTTTTAGGATTCATTTCAACCGTAGAACTGTGAGAATTGCTCTGCTTGACGAAATCGCAATAAACAACTGAGGGGTTATTCGATTTTTATTTAATTTCATTTTCACACATATTGCGCACTTTATTTCTATCTTTTTCAATTTCTTCGAAAATTAAAGATCAAAATTTGGTCCGCAAAGTTATTAAGCGTTACAGGATAAACTTTGTTTTAATTTCATAAGTCATTTGTATAGAAACAAAAACAAAGTTACAAATGTTTGTTTACCTATCATTCATGGCCAACACGATATAAGAGTTGCCAGAACTTTTGTGGTTGTTTAGTAAATACTTTAATATAAAATACTTAAAAATAAAATAAATTTTAAAAAATGCCATAAATGGTAATAAAAAATAATTGATTAATAAAAAATTAATTGTAAGGAATAACGTAGCAAAAATATACAATAATCAAGTTCCACAAACCCCTAGCGGACAATGTGAGTTGTGAGTTAGCACAGACATTAACCAATTTCTACTGTTTAGCAATGACAAGCATCTGCCTGCAGACAACTCTACATGGAAAAATCTCTAACAAAAGAAAGTTCTAAAAAAAGTCTACACTTGCATCTACGAGAATGATAGTACAATTCCAACAATATCAAAAGTTCGAATTACGATATCTGCTCTCGTGTCGGTGTTTTGACAAATTTCGCATAACACCTTCGATAGCTCAGTTGGTAGAGCGGTGGACTGTAGACGAGTTCTGAAAACAAAATGTAGATATCCATAGGTCGCTGGTTCAAATCCGGCTCGAAGGAATCTAGTAGTAATAACTACACATTTTTTTCCAAAAGAAGGATTGGAAATGACATTAACTTTTAGAAAATTATAATTACATGGCCGACTTTTATCACAGTTATGTTCATACACATACACTTTAATCAATTAACGTATATAATTCTCATTTAACCCTGAAAGTCCTCAGTTCTGCTATTTTCGAATCCTCTGATGCAAAACTCTTTTGAAACGCGCTTATTAATTGTATGTGGTGAAACTCGCTCATCTCGGACGAGTACCTCTACGAAAAGTTACGTTCTCTGGGAGCCTATTCTGTAACTCGATTCGAAACCAAATTTACTCGAATTCGAATTTTTTATATTCCGTAACTCGATTTTTGGATTTTCAAGCCTATTTTCGAATAAAATATTCGTTAGCTTTTGAGTTGTAGAAAGCAAAAACGAAAATTGTACGTATTTATTCTGGCACAGGGTGGTACAACTTTCGAAAAATTATAAAGTAGATCCGATTTTCGATCGAATACATTTACGAATCGCGATACAGAATAGGGCCCATGAATCGTTACATTCAAAAATATACTTCTCTATGATTTACAAAAATCAACACCTTTAAACATATTTTTTTTTTTTTTTTCAAAGTTTGAAACAATTAAATAAAATCGAATGAGTGAAAATAAAAAAGTTTCCAGTTTTCAAATTAGTCTTTTGACAAAATTAGATAACACCTTCGATAGCTCAGTTGGTAGAGCGGTGGACTGTAGAGGAATTTCACATCAAAGCATAGATATCCATAGGTCGCTGGTTCAAATCCGGCTCGAAGGAATCAATAGGAACAATTTTTTTACGAAAGGTGGATGATGAATAATAAAATAAAATGCTTTCAAACACACCAGGTTTATACTATACATAAAACATTAAGATTTTGGTACAGATTCACTTTTTAATAGGTTTTTTGTTTTCTGTCCAACGCTCAAACAAATTTAGAAAACTCTTAGTAATTGCTTTCTTTTAGCTTCCTCAAACATTCCTTTTTTCTCGCTAATTTCATTTGTAGCATTTGACAAAATATGAATAACCCCTTCGATAGCTCAGTTGGTAGAGCGGTGGACTGTAGTGGAATTCGTAAAATAAACATAGCCATCCATAGGTCGCTGGTTCAAATCCGGCTCGAAGGATCGTGTAATAAAACTTTTTGCTATTCCAAATATTATCACAACTTTGCACTAAACAAATAACCTCCGCTAATTGAAAACTGATATGAAATCTAAATATTACTCTAATCTATTCAGTATTATCTCTATTTATTTTCTGCCTTTCTTTCACCTACGGCATAGCAACGCAAAGCGCGCCCGCGTCGTTCGCATAGCAATCGCAAACGCAGCGAAACACGCATAGCGTTGGACCTGCCCACAACCGATCCCAGCGCCGATTTGATATTCTCCACCGACGACGAGACAAATCCACGTGACGAGGATGGTAATTTACCACAATATTGTGTGGCACCAAGAGAGCGCACACGCCGTTTGCTACAAAGTGAATTGCAACGACGCTACATTGAGGAGATCGGCGATAATGGAACAGAGCGAGGTAGAGCCAAAATGCCACCCGAATTGATTATAACATCACCATCGAAAGGTACAAAAATCACTATAAGACCCAGTATGGCGCCTACGCAGAGGCTACCCGATGCGATCGGTACTCTCGAATTTCCGGTGGCATTTAAGCCGGCACGACGCACCAACTCATGGCACAACCTCAATAATGGTGCGCTCAAACCGGTGTGTATGGCCCGACAAAAGTGAGTTCATTAGTGATTTGGATGCCTAGCATGGAAATATATTCGCTAACATAAATGTATAATCACATAAATTAATATTTGGGAGCACATAAGAAACATTTACTTTAAGAAATATTTCAGAAAAGTAAAATAATGAAAAGAATCTATAGAATTTTCCCACTTTTCAGTTCTAGAATAACTAACCCTTACACTGCGAACGAAAGCAACATTGAAGAATTAGATTTGAAACTCTCACTAAAGAAGAAATACTGGACCGGTGTGAAACCTGAAAAAATCAAAGATGTTCCTGAATATCAACGGCCACTTTCATGGAATCAACCCATAATAAGACGTCCACACCAACTGAAGAAACCATCACGCGAAAAATTAGACAATCAATCATTCCAAAAAGCCGACAGTGAGGCCTTTCTCAAGTGAGTGCTGCGAAAAGAAATTAATTAATAATCCTAGCATTATAACTGCGTTATTATTACAGCGCTTGTTCTCAAAAACTGATGCACTGGCAGCAGGAGCTTAACAATGTAGGCAAATCGTGCGGGGAAAATGGTGGAGATGCTTCACCAATGCTAACACGAAAAATTGATATTCGACTGGACGCCATAGCTTTAGGTATGCCAGAGCTTATTGACGACGAACGCACTTTACGTATTTTTAGAAAAGTATCACAGGCGAAAAAGGAACTAAAAGCGCCCACAAAGGAGGAGGTAGCAAATGTGGAGCACAAACAACGACGCCGCAGGTAATTTAAACCGCAAACAGGTTTTGCACTGTCATTCGTTACATTTAACGCTTTAATATCTTTTCCCTACCTTTTCAGCAATGCACTCTCGAAAATAGCCGACACAACACAGCTAATTACCCGCCTAACCAAGAGTAAATCGAAGACACGCAGTAACCATAGCCAATCCACTGCCAATCGCAATAGCAACATCAGCATTCATCAACAAGGCGCAACACTGACGCAAGTGACCAAAGCCGGTGTGCAGGGCATAAATCGTTTTAAAACCGGCGGCATTGTAGTTACAGCGGTGCAACAGTCCTCCACGAAAAAAGCTAAGAAACATCATCGTAGCAATAAATCGCAGCACACCCTGGTAGGTGCTGGCGCTGGTGGCGCGTCCAAAAAGGAACAGAATACTAGCACTAGTGGTTCTTTGCTAAGTAAAACGAATCTGTCAATGAAAGCATCTGTGAGTTCCAGCACGTTTGCCCGGAAAGTTAAGACGAAATTAGCTAAGAAGAAATCACATCACTCACGGGATGAACCGTCCATTATAATACCTAGTAACCGTAATTTAGTTAATACTAATGGTAGCATCGTCGCCAACAATAGTATTTTCAGCATGCCTTTGTCACGAAAGACGTAATAATTGTTTAATATATTGATAACAAATAAAATTATATGATAACAATGTTAAGCGATTTTATATGTCATTACGAATCAACAATAAATATATATGTAATTTATGAAAATGTAACTGCTTGTTTATAATAAAAATTTCACTTGGGGAATGTGTGAAAGTTTATTTCAAAATCACTCGTCACAAGTGGTTGAGTTTTACACTTCGTTAATTAGCAAACTAAATACCTCTTAGCCGCGTTTTCCATTCCCGCGCTTACACAGTTGTACCCGCTTATCAGTAACAAGCATGATATTTCAGAAAAAACATAAACAACACCTTACTAATGCAGTCATGCACAATTTGACCTCTTCTCATCATTGGCCCTTATGGCCCACTTCCCTTTTCTTGTGGTCAACAAAAAGTGTAGCAGCAAACACGGCAAAGGCGAGAAAAATCAATTTCGAACACTTTTATCAAATTTTTTTGCTTCCATTCAAATTCTAATCATTCAATAAGCACTTATGCACTTTAAACACTCACCTTTACACAAATTGCAATTAATCTTTCACTTTCGTTGACCCGCGATTGTTGCAGATTTATGGAAATTCTCGAAATTCTAATTTACTTACACAGTGTAAACAATTGTTTAACTTTTCACCTTGCTCGCGAACTTTAAGTTGTCAAGCTCTGACAGTTCTCACAATGACTACGGTTCCAATTGGATTGGTGGGTGGTAGAAAAGTGCAGCCGTACTGTACAAATATTGCCAAAAAAATATTTTTGTATTTATGTTGGCTTTAATTTATTGAAATATATAGTATTTGTATTAGCTAGTTCTAAGTATTAAAAAGCTTTTATTAAGTAATAGTTTAAGAATGAACTCAAAATCCGTAAACTAAATAAACACCCATTTTTCATACTCAGAAATATCTCCAATAATTTTCTTTATACTTAGTTTATGTGGCAGCACGGTAAAAGTCATTCAATTCGCGCAAATTACCGGTATGAAGCATACCGCTTTTGATATTAGTGAAGCTAATTTTCCAACTATAAAAAAATAATTTTTTTTTCAATAAAATACTCATAAAACTAACCTGAAATGGTGTCCCTACAGGATGTATCCACATTCATTGTGCCGGGACAGCTTTGTGCGCTACCTCAAAATGAAGTGGACAGCTGCTCAGTGGTAAGCAACAAAAGTTTAAAATTTCCGCAGGCCAGCCATAATGACCAAATTTTGAATTTTTAGTCGGAATACTATCCAGAAATAAATTTAAATTGTGAGATGTTTAGCACATCAGTCAGCGGCCATGCAAACGACACCTACCGCAACGTTATGATACCAGTGAATGAAGGTGTCATCAAGCGTATAGTTCGCACATTTTTCGAAAGCGGGTTTATGGAGGCACTTAATGAGGCGCGAGACCAAGAAACAGCCACAGTTAGTCCACTTATATGTGCAACAGCAAAGTATACATGTGAAATGCTGGAGTTTGTAAAACGACTAAAGACCAAAATATTTCCGCATATGCGTGAGGTGAGCGTAAATAATGTGGCTGAATTCTCTGAAACGCGTGACTGGCTGCGTTCATACATACGTTGTATCGTTTGGCATCCGAATTGCTTTAAAATCGCTGTAGCGGGCTCGGATGATATTGTGCGAATATATACAGACGAACCCGCAATGGTGCCAGTGTTAAAGAGCGGCTCACAAAAGTGGATAACTTCAATGGCTTGGCGCCCATTGACCGCTGCTGAATTGGCAGTTGGTTGCCAAAAGGGTGTGTGTCTCTGGACTATGGATACAAACATGCACATAACACGAAGTGCCACACAAGCAGTATTTTTAAAGCAGTAAGTAATATTTATAGCTTTTGAAAATATATATTAATTTATACATAACAACAGTCCCGGTCACTGCCCAATCACTTCCGTACAGTGGAGCCCCAGCGGGACACTACTTGCTACAGCCTCTATCAGTGATACGGATATTCTAATATGGGACGTAGATAAATTACAAAATACGCCTTTAAGGCGTGTAGGCTCACCATGTTCGCTCTTAAAGTGGTCACCCGATGGTGGATACTTATTATCTTCCACAGTTGGTAGTGTGTTTCGCGTTTGGTCGGCAGATAAGAAATGGACACCGGAACGTTGGACTATTAAATGTGGTGTGGTGCAATCGGCATGCTGGTCGCCATGCGGCAACTTCTTGCTCTTTGTGACAACAGGCGACAGCATACTCTATCGCCTACACTTCCAGGACGAAACGGTTTTTACGTGTGAGTAAATTATAGCAAATTTCTGAGAAGTTTAAGGCAATGAACGCTGCAAAGCATTTGTAAAAATCACTCCAATGTTTTGTTTGTTGTTGTCCATGTCAATGTGTGACCGTTGCCAATATTAATACTCCGAAGAAAGGCAAGCTACAGGTGAGTCGCGACACAAGCACAGTCGCGGCTTGTATAATGCTGCCTACATAATTTTGCACATGCTAGTTTTCGTTTTATTTATAATAAATATTTTTTATTCTTTATTTTTCAAAACAGCCGGCACCTCCACTAAAGAAGCTTTAAAAATTGCCGACTTAACGAAATTCAATGCTGGTCGTCGTGAAGTGGGCGGCAAACCGCAAGCGTTAGCCTGGGATGCAGACGGTCGTTACCTGGCGGTGATATTCAAAGATACCCCTTGCATAGCGCTCTTCAACACGTGTCTAAAGAAATTCGACATGACAATCTCACCACTTTGCTTTCTCACTGGCCTCTCCACAGAGTACCCTTCATACATCTGCTTCCAAAGCAAGAATCGGCGTAATAAAGAGACTGTTTTAACCATTGGCTGGTCTAGCGGGCGCATAGAATATTTCCCATTCGGCAATATGTGATAAAAAAAAGTGTTTACTGTTTTGGTACATAAATATTAAAATGGTTTCTGTATTTATTATATGAGGTAAATTACGACATAATTTTTTATAAACAAATAAAGCGCCAATTAAAAATGTAAATTGTTTTTGTTTTTCCTAAACTTAATAAATTTGACTGTCAACAATTTTACGTGGACTTAAAACAAATTTGGCAGCACGCTTTAGAAAACAACAAAGTAATAGAAAACAAATTCGATATTTACATTAACGCAGGCCAAGCACAGTTACTCATAAGCACAAGCGTGGAATAAAAAATAACAATAAATGATTTATGCGCATAAATATTTTTAAATGTGTGTAATACATGTATAAATACAGGATTAGATAGTATATATTTAATTTATAAACTAATATATAACTTAACCTAAATTCCTTTAATCACATCAACACGTTTACGTACGGCTATTTAGTTACTTTTAGGTACTTTGCTTTTGCTGCTGCTTTGTAAACATATTTTACTTTCTTTTGGTTTCCAATAAACAAGCATGCTTTCTACCGAGCGTTAGCGACATTGCCAACGGTTTTTTCTTTTCAAATGTCACCAAAGAAATAGCCCAAAGCTGTAGCGGCCTTCACGCGCACAAAGTGATTCTCATCCTTTAGCAGCACTGCCAGCTTATTGCCCACCGACTCGGTTTGTGTGTTGCGCTCCGGCAGGAAGTTGTGTAGTATGCCTAAAAAAAGTGCAAGGAATTAGAATTACCAATAAAAAATCACAAAAATGTGTAATACCTATAACAATGGCAGCGCTGCCGCGCACCTCGGCCCATTGGCTGCGCAATTTCGGTATGGCCGAGTCAATAAAATCTTGTATATGAGCCGGCAAGTCCATAGCCTGCAATTAAAATAGAATTCGCTTTTAGAAAGCGATGATTTCAAAAATATTTTACAAATACATACAATTAATTTTACGAAATCCACTATGAAAACGCCATAATTCAGCTGGCCGTGATCTATGAGGTGTCGCTGTGCCATTTCATTCACCTTTGGCGCATTCAATAAACCACAAACTTTACGTAGCGTACCCTTGCAAGCCTGAAAATGTGTGAACAAGAAAAATTGCTAGAAACCTTTCACAAATAAAAACATTTTCCAAAGAAGGACTTGATTTTGATCTTCCAGTTTGTATGGCAGCTATATTAATAGCTTGAAATCAAATAAAAGCACGTGCAATGAAAACAACTCACTCGTATGATCGTCGCTTCGCCCTCGCTCAAGTGCAGCAGTATGGGAAAGAGATTTGCAATCAGTTGCTCACGTAACGCCTCGGTGGAGGCAGCATTCGGCGATATGCTGCCGTCCCTCTCATACGCCTTCTTCGACTCGCACAGATCGCCGAAGAGTATAATGGACGCTTCGCGTATTTCGATGGAATAGCTGCCGAAGAATGGACGAATGCGTATGGCCAAGGAGACATGGAAAGACTCCAAGCGATCGCTGGGCAATGTTTGCAAAATGCGTGCCAAGCCGCGCATGCTCTCCAAGGGAATATTTATAAGACAGTCACTGTTGCGTAGAAAACAATAAACCGTTATTAAGATACTCACTACAAGCAACTCCAATTGATAAACTCACCTAACCGGATCGTCGATGCCCTTCAGCAAAGCGGTGACCGCCGTTTCCGTATACTTTTCAACGTCATGCTCCGTTAGATTACCCACATAACCTAAACCCTGTATGCTCAAACCGCGCACTACAGCGTTGGGGTCACTCAGCGCCGAACTCAAGTGCAACATAATCACCGAAGATATCTCACCGCATGGTTTGAGCGGCACCAGACGTGAGAATAGACCCACTGCCGCAATACGTTGACCATCATATGGCGAGGAAACATATTTGCTCAACGCAGTGACGACGTGCTTCATGCTGCTCGATGAGATTTCCAATTGGTTGACCAAACCGATGCCTATGGGTGTAAGCAGCTCAATATAGTTCTTCAAGTCGGTGCTGTTCGCTAGCTGTGTGTGCACGGTGAGCACTGTAGCTATCTGTTCCATCTCCAAATTACCGAGGAATGCTTGAAATGTATCTAATACGATTTGACAGGGATTCAATTTGACCAAATCTTTATTCGGCACAAAACCAAATTTCGACTTCGTCGACGAAGCGACAGTTGCCAGTGAGCTGACAGAGCTGTTGACACCCTGTTGAGTAGGCGAATGGCCACCGGTATGCATGGGTGCCGCCAGATTTGTATAGGTAGCCAATGAGGTTAGCAGCATGGTAAAGAGTTCAGGGAACTTCTTATGCAATTCCTGTAAATGAAAAGTGTTGTATTTACTATCAATACCGCAAATTTATAACAAGGCACCTTTACCTCTTTGACATCCTTGCAGGGCATAATCTCTTTTAGCGCGCAGAAAATGGCAAATGGTTGTATGCTCGCGATTTTCTGACGTTCACTTGCCGACGATTCACTTGGCTCGTAGAGACACGATGAGTTTAGTATTTGTAGAAAGTTCTCCAGTAGCGCAGCGGTGAGCTCAGGATCATTCGCGATGAGGTGCCAGTATTCGACAATGTTGCTGCGAGTTTTTATTTATTGAGTTAATTGGAAGTATAAAGTAAATACACGACAGATATTTACCTCTCGTACGGTAAGGGCTGAGTTAGCATTTCGAAGCAAACGAGCTTCGGATGATGTTTCGTCAGCGCTACGAGCGCTTTTAGTACACCGGAACGAGCACGGTTAATTTCACAGTCACGTATAGCCTAAAATACAAATTTTTGTTGTTATATCAAGTTGTTTAATTTTTGACTAGTTGCTAGGCTTACGCTCAGACTGTCCTTTACAAGATCCGGTATGGCGTGAAATAGCTCAGAACCTTTGTGTTGTATGAAAAACTTCAACACCACCGAAGCTCCAATCGATGAGCTTTGCTCCGGGTCACGTAAGCCTTGCAGCAGAGTTTTACTATGAAAAAATATATAGAAGAAATCAGGTTATTATAGGGCTCCAAATATTATTGTCAACGCTGTATAAAGTTCGCTTTTTTCGAATAACATTTATTTCTTCTCATGTTTTCATCTTTCTCTTACTCACCAAAATTGTAAATACTGAAAATTGGACATGCGCAGCGCGATGATCTTGGCGATTTCACCGGCCAAATTGTAGATCATCTTCGGATCGTCGGTAATAATTTGCTCCTTCACCAAATCGATCTCCTTTACCCAATCCGTTTCACTATCGGCAATGGTGAGGGTCTCGTAAATACAAGAGATTTCAAGTGTCTTTTGCAGTATATCCACAGACACTTGTCGCACCGTGCCATTCGAGTCTATGCAGCGTGGCACAATCTTACCCAACATTTGGCCCGTCTGATTGAATTTCGACGGTGCTTCACAACCGATTTTCATTGATTTTATATACACTTCCAGACCGTTATTGAAAACGTGCGATGCGCATATGCGCACTTCGGAATTTTTATCTCTGGTCCATGCCTCCAAAATCGATATGATCAAATCGAGTGTGGATGGCGAGGGGTCAGTTTCAATGATGGCCTTTGCGAGCGCATTCAGCTCCGGCAAGGATTCATTTAAATGTTTTGCCAGAAAACTGTTGCGTTCATCCTCTTCGGGTGAGTCGAATTTGATTTTTAAATGCTGAGCGCATGAAAAGAAGTTCTTACACGCAATCTCGAAGATAACACTGCCATCTACGGACTCTGTGGGATCCACGCCGCCTGGAAGATAAAGAGACAGAGAAACACTTATCAATTGTACAAGAATAATGTTGTTCCAAAGACAGTCGAGTCTACGCAAACGGAACTGGACCCGGATCAAGGACTATCAATTCGGTAGAATTCTGCCGCTACAAAAGAAATAATAGTAATATACGTGAAACTCACCAATGCGTATAAAGTCCGTGCCGAGTTTCAGTATTGTCGGCAACAGCGGCAGATCGTTAAAGGGCGCTTCAATCGGTATGCTAAACACGGCCTCCATTATCTGCTTGCGGTACTTGAGTGGCGCGGTGAGCTCCTCTTTTGTGGCAATGATCTGATTACAGATGCTCAGTAGCGTCTTAAGTATGGCCGACATAATGGTTTGATCCTTGGTGCCAGTCAGTTGCAATATCAGAAAGTTGAGTATTGTATCATCGAGGTTCTGCAGCGATTGCATGGGATCCGATTCATCCAAAATGTGGCCGAAGGACTTAATCACCAACAAATTTGTCTTGTACAATTCCTGCTCTTTGTGTGTGTCTTTGATAAAATGCAAATTGCTGAAGAAACCCGTTGAATGTTTGCGTCCGCCGATGTGCGCCAGCTCCGCTAACTTCTTGATGAGGTGTGTTAAGTGCTTGCGTGAGATGTAGCCCAAGGCAAGTGCGCACGGTGCAATCTTCTGCTCATATTCCGCATGCTTTATGTGCTTGTCGAGCTTCTCCTGGCGCGCCGAGGTGATGATCAAGTCGATTTTCGCATTCACTGTCTGCGGTTCCGTGACGAAGCAGAGCGCTAAAGCGAGTGACTTCATCAGCATACCGCGCTCGGTCGTCATGGTGGGCATGACGAATTCCAAATGCGGCGTGCTGATGGGATAGAGATTCAATTGGTCGGACATTTTGTTCACCAAGCGTTCGGCGAAGTTTTCATCGCGCGTATTTAAGTATTCGACGCTATCGCTTATGAACTCTATGAGTTTGCGCGAGAAGACGGACTCCTTGTTGATGTGCAGCAATAGATCGGGTATGTGTTTATCCCAGAGCGTATTCAGCTCGGGATTCAAATGCGGATAATAGTATTTCAAGAATGTCAATATGTTCGAAGAGCGTTTGATGCAGTGGAAATTGCCGAGTAGTGCAAGACAACGCGCAAATATGGATTCTGGACAGGGCACAATTATCTTGCCGCTTTTAACGTTCGCATGACTACCCTCCTTAGCGTGTTCTTCACCAGCGCCATCCTTCTTTTCGTCAGTCTCGTCGACGGCTGCAATTTCATATTCGATATTAGGTGATTTGGCGAATAAGCTGCCTAAGCATTTGGCCAAATTCGAGCATACGTCTGTGTAGTCCAACAACACGAA